CAAAGACTATTTCTATTACCTGATAGTTTGGATTGTCTATCAAAGGTGCTTTCCATTTCCCTTTATAGTTTGGGTTATTCTTCATGGGACGCACCCACGGGCCACAACCAGGTGCAGCCTCACACTTTGGATTAGGGATCTGAGGGGCTTCCCACTCCCCATCCATATCTTCATCCCTACATAAAAGACAAGAAGATAGAAACAGCTGATTTGAGATTGGGCTGGTCTGAACACTATCAGTCAGTCTGAAGTTAGGGTCCGTACACATTTTGCTTTAACAATCTCAAAATTTTGACCAGGCCACAGACCTTTACCTAACATTAGCAAAATTTTCTTTTTGAGGACTGCTATACTCTTTATTCTGGTTTTGTTTATGTATCTTCAAAAAACAAAAGGCAATAAACATGTTTGTTTTTCTCTAAAAGCAGCCCTCCAAAAGAAATACACATTCCAACTTACTCCCTCAAAAGACAATGAGATTTGGATTGACTTCTGATCCACAATTCAATTCGCCACAGACAATACTCAGGCTTATCTACAAGACATGTTAACAACCTGCACTTACTGAATCTAGATCTTACCAGTCCTTTGGTTTTTTTGCATTAGGGTCTGGAACATACTGTGCTTCATCATCAAGCCATCCCTCAGGCTTTACAGCATCAGGATCTTCTATTTTGGAAGGCTCATCTTCATCCCTTCAATTACAGACTTACGTTAGAAAATACAGCAGCTGTATTTTGAATCAGCACCTGAAACACAGCACCTGACTCTGAATGAATGTTCTGTTCAGAGGACTGTAACTGGCATGAAAGGCATGATTCTCAAAGGCACAAGAGAATCAGACACAGTGATCATGGGAATTAGACATCCAATTATCTGTTTATAAATATCTGAGCTATATTTACATTGTTTAAAAGTCCTACTTAGCCCGGAAATTGCTGCCATTAAAAGGCAAGTGTCAATTGGATCTTACCATTAAGTTTTTCCCTCCTCTTCCTGGGTTGCCATATGAAACACAGTTCACACAGAAGTAGAAATAACTGAATGTAAATTAAGACTATATGGTGAAGAAAAAAACCCAATGACCCTCCTCCTAATCTCTCAGCTATAGTAATTTTAGCTATTAATTGCAACCGTGGAGGGTAGAAATTGAGCAAAAAGCACAGATTTTATTTCCTTAAATGCTGACCAGATTCTTATACTGACCTCAGTTATGTTTCCGAATTTTAGTGCTTCTAATAGTGAAAATATATCCCAACTGCTATTAGCAAAAAATACAAATAAAACCAAACAAATCCTTTAGATGAAGGATTTGTAAGTAAAATGTATTGTACAGATAAAAATGTTCTCCTTACCAGTCATCTGGTTTGACAGCATTCGGATCAGGTATTTTTGGTCTCTCATCCCAGTCATCAGGCTTCTTATCACTAGGATCGTCTATTTCTTTGTGAGGGTTTACTGGAGGAACCATATCTTCAAGAAGACTTCCTTTACTGACAACCAGTTGGTCAATTAAAATTTCAAATGTATCATCTGGTTTTAGTACTAAAATGAATAAATTAATATTAAAGCAGTAATGGAAGCATTCATTTTACAAATATCTTTAAACAAAAACCTATGTAATAAGCAAAACTTAGACAAATTATAGCAAACAGAATCCTCACTAGCCACTCAAGTACTGGATCTGAAGACAAAACATTAGAATTGCTACTGTGGGGAAGTATGACAGGAATCATGCCTCCCTAAATGAAACTTCTTGCACATCCAAGCACATCGTAAGAGATTTTTCAAAAACGTACCACTTGACCAAAATTCTGCTTCATTTTAAATTAGTTTCACACCGGAAACACAGGAAGCATGGAAACACAGGAGTTGCATCAGTAACACAGCTAAAGGATCAAAATATTTTCTCTCAGATTCAAATCTGACAGTCATTTCCCTCAAGTGCAGATTATGAATACAGAAAATTCTTTCCAAATGTTTTGGTATTTTACAAGTGTAACTGAGATGCCAGGGTCATAGAACTGTGCTGTGACAAACTCAGTAACAGACACTCTATCCACATCCATTTCTAATAATCAGTGAGCACATTTGAATGTTCAAGCATCCATTCAACGAACTATTAAAATAAATACTATTCCACTTTTATGGCAGTTTTATAAAGATGGATGATGAAAACCAGAGTAACAGTCTCATAATGACTGTTTGACAATAGCTAATTAAGCTCCTGCAGCCTAGAAGTTTTCAACAGCATTAAAATACTCATAAACAAAAAAGTTAACCCCCTGTATCACTTCAGATACAATGCAAAGAACTGATTTTTAAACTTCTGTTATCAGTCACATAAAGCATTAGAATCACACAGCTCTATGGAGTCTATTTGAAAAATTATAACAGAATAAATGCAATCTGGAGTTTAAGTATCCTTAGGCATAATTTCTAATGAACAGCCCAAATACAGGAACACATGCACTCCTTTACCACAAGAAGAGAGTTTTGTTTCACTTATTCCCATTGTCTAAAAGTGAAAGCTTATAGTGGCACACTACAGTAATCTATTAAAAAAAAAAAAGAAGCTACTTTTCCCATGGCACAGCAGTTGAACATGCCTTCTATTATTTTTCCATGGAAGTTCAAAAGTACAATCAATTTTGCTGAAAAAAGAACTAAGAAATTAAACTTTCATCTCTGCTATACTGTTTGCTGGCAGAGAAAGAAATGTCACATGAATTAAAACTAGCTCAATATCGATTCATCTTCAGAGAATATGGTAACATTTGCTCATACACGCTGCTGCAGATACAGGTGTGAGAACTCTTAACAAGTGAAGGAGAGTGGCATGTCGCATGCTGCAGATGTAACTGAATTCCTGTGAACTCTGATGCCTTCCTGGAATATTAGACAGCTGTGTGTCTTTCAATATGTTTAACAAAAGTATTTTTATCGTAAGTACTGAAAATATTAATTCTTCACATAAAGACAGTAGCTTTTCCTTCCTTCTAAATATGGCTTTAAGGCTGTAGTAATTTCTTCAAGTGACTTCTGCTAAGTATTTTCTACTTAGGGGTTCACACAAATTCAGACACTTGGGAGAATACTTGAAGAATCAAAAAATCACATTAATCTGAAAATATTTGTATATTATAATTAATATCCAAAATAGTGACCGAAAAAATCTAGAAAACCCTCCCTGTCTCCTTTGGTTGGTTTGTTTATCATGACCCAGATTCTAGTGGCTGTATTTACAGCACTTCAAAACTAGACAATCGTCCCAGTTGAGCATTTCCATCACTTTCTATGAAGTAAATTTAACCCCTCCCCTGAATAACTAATATAATTCTCTACTTGTGTTTTTCCACACAAAATCCCATTTGAAATTAAATACAAATTAATGATTATCAGTACTGTACTGTCAGAAGAACTGACACTTATCTAATAAAGCTTGTTTGTTTGTTTTAATTGGCATAGGCTACATGATCTAAAATACCTTAGTTTGTGGCTTTACTGGATACCTGAAGATGAAAAGCTCTGGTGATAAAACACAATAAGGAACATTATCATGAACAAGAGAGATAAGTTTGTATAGTATTAAGATCAAGCGATGTGCACATGTAGTGTAGAGACTTACTAAACTTTTGTATTTGTTTTAAAAATGAGCATATCTCGTTCACAATTGGATTCAGTTTGTCAGGTTAAACATAAGTCTGCTGGCACTCTTTGAAGTCTTAGGGTAGTATTCTCAACTAGCAAGATAATACATTGTGTTGAAACCTCATTTGATAAAAATGTTCGAAGTCTCATTGCATCACCTTTTCCACCTTAAATACATTATAGATTAGATCTGCAAAGCAATTTTAAACAAAAATGTAGAAACCAGCTAAGAATTTCTGTGAAGGAATACCAGTATGACACTATTTGCAGGGCTTGTGTATAGAAAAACACTTAAGATTTTTTGCGAAGGGGGAGAGTAAGAGAAGAGGAACAAGGATAAGCAACTTAAATCAGGGAAATACCAAACTGAGGCAGCATCAGAGCAGTTGTGGTTTGCAAGACGCACACTTCAAACCATTTTCAGTTTTCTGTTTCCTCAAAGAATGATCAGTGACAGCATCATGATCCTCCTGAAGCTTTTTAGTTGTGTGATTAAGAGTTAAATAAAAATCCAGGTAATATACCTTAGAGAAACAGGTGGTCAACAATTACAGAATAATCTGCAGTGAGGAACCAAGCACAAGTCTGTCCTTCCCACCTTTTACCTTCCTTCTGAAGTGCCAAACTCATCTTTGATTCAGGCCTTAGAACAACTGTTTTCCTGCCCCAGAGCCTGAGCTTGTGAAGTACCTCTCAAGGCAAAGCACAGAAACAGGTAGCCTAAGGCGGAAGACTGCAGTGGAAGAAAAGTGGCTTTTGCTGCTCAGATTTGTGCTGCTCTGAGCAAAGCCTAGTCTCAAGGTGCCCTGTTTTTTACTGGCTTGCCAGTTTGTTAATAGGTTTGTCGGAGGAGCTCAGCCCAGGTTGTGGGTCTGAACATTTCTCATAGAAGCAGTACATCTAGCATAATCAGTATTAACAGAGAGAGACTGAAAAACAAACAACAATGTACATTTTAGCAGTACTCAGTTGCGCATTTCATCTTGCGATACAGCAGCATTGCAGACCTTACTTACGGGAGTAACATAGAACTGAGCTCTGTCTCTTCAGTAATGAAGCCGTTGTACTTTCAACAAAAGAAAACCACTAGTTAAAGGATCTCTTCCAACCTTGCTGTGACAAATTCTATGAAATAAAACTGCAGGAATGGAATTAGTAGGTCTACTAGTAGAATAAATCCCTCTCAAACCCAAAGTTTCTTGGCAGCTAAGCACCGCTGTGTGTCGAGTGTAAGCTGACATTGCGAGGTTCCCCCCTCCCAAAGGAGGGGTTTCCCATTTCTCCCCATTTAAGATGGCTGTACAGCACTCACCAGAGTGTCAGCAAAGTCAAATGAGTGCAAACAGGGCACTATCAGTTCAGTTTCGAGGTCTGATTACAAGTCTGAGGCAAGAAAGATGGAGAAAAGTTGGCTGATACTGTTTGTGTCATCGCATCCTGTAAACATCCGGAAGTATTTTTAATCTTACAGACTACTCACTGGAACTCGTAAATTCATCCAGGATGGTATCTAATCAAATGATAGGAATATCTGTAAGTTCCTAAACAGCAAATCTAATAGCCTCAATTGCAGTTTTCTTCAGAGTGCTTTAACATCTTTTTTAATTATCAACCTGCTCAAAATGTTTCGACTCTCCATAAACTTATTTAAGGTATGTTTTATTATTATTCCTATGGCTTTTGGTTTTTATCCCCCTCGCAGAGTCCACTGATAAAACAGTGTAAGAAGAGGAATTCCTGAAAAATTGTTAGTGGGCCCTGCAAGAAAGGAAAAACAAACAAACAAAAAAAAACGAAAAAAACCAAACCAAAAAGCCTCCTTGTTTTAGCCTGCTCTCCACTGTTAGACTTTAGTAGGTTTTAATAAGATATGATACATTCTTGATGAATTTAAGGGTAGTGGTTTAGATTTCACAAAGATTAGTATTGCTGAAATTGCAATTAATGATTAATCAAAAAATCATACAACTGTATATACAACTGAATTGCTGAGGTGAGTAGCTCGAGAGAGGACGCCTTGAACACCGGAGCGGGGGAGATCAGCATCCAGGAGCCTCAACTCAGAGTGACAAGAACTACCGAGGGAGCCTCAAGTCCTCGGCAGGACCTGCCTAGGAGCAGGCAGCTCAGCTGACGCGAGCAGCTGACTCACAGGGGGTGGAGCCAGGAGGAACGGCGCTAGCCCTGAGTGGTTAAAAACCTGCCCCAGGGAGCACGAGCGACCAGGAGCGCAGCGAACAGAGTGGGTCGAGGCAGTTCGCACAGCAGTTCGCGCGGGATGGTGAGCACTCGTGTATGACCAGGGCCCGGTCTGGGAGCTCTGCTCTGGCTGCTCCAGTGGTGGCCACCGTAGGCACCCAGACAGAGCAGATGAGAGGGGAGGCTGCTGTGCAGAGCTCAGGGTGTAGAGAGTGCCTGCAGTGCTCTGGTGAGGGAAAGGTACACAATGGGCAGGGCTGCACTGGGTGCTCCCTGGTGGAGGCTCTCCTGCAGCAGGTGACTGAGCTGCGGGAAGCTATTAATAGGCTACAAGATGTCAGGGTAGCTGAGAAGAAGCAGGAATGCTTGCTCCCTGCCCAAACTGTGCAGAGTCCTCAAGCTTCCCCTGTAGCTCATGGAGGAAAGAAGGAGGTTGTTAGCTCTCGAAGCTGGGAATTGGTGACAAAAAAAAAAAAAAAAAAAAAGGAGGAAAAGGACAATTAAAAGCAAGGGACTTCCTCCTGAACATGTTGCCCCCACACAGAACCGCTTTGCTGTCCTTCAGGTGGCTCATGAGGAAACGCACTTGGACCAGAAACAGCCTGGTGATGCACTAGTAAAGATTTCTACTGTTGCTGCCAGGAAAAAGTGGCAAGTCATAGTGTTAGGGGATTCTACTTTGAAAGGGACAGAAGCACTCGTCTGTCGGCCTGACAGTCATGCT